TGAGATCAGAGGAAGTTGAATCCTAAGTTATTAAATAAATACAATATAAAAGAACGAAGGCGAGCAGCCATAAATCCAACTATTGAAAAGTTTCTTTTTAATAATATACACGGATTCTGTTTAACTTTCATTTTTTTATCTCATTATAGTATCGATGTCAAAACTATACATGGGCGTACTATTTGAATTATTCTTGAGCAATAAATACCTTATACTTACCTGCAGTTTGTGTAGACCGCGTTAAAACAATAGAAACCAGAACCACAGTGGCAACTCCAGCAATTATGGCAATTATAATGAGAGTGATTAGTACTTTTCTCCAGGTGCCATAAGTTGTGACTCTAAGAAAAAACAAACACGTTTTCTCGAAAAACGAAAATAAATGTTGATATTTTACAAATTATACTTACTGTTCACTGATTGTATTATTTGTTTCGGAAGGAATGTCAAGTACTTCCTTCAGATCATGTGTAATATCTTTTACGGTTGTATCTGAAGATGTATAGGTCTAAACAGAAAATTCAACAACGATTCTACACCAGACAAATAGTTATGTTACTGGTGAGCAGAGTATCAGCAATTAAAGTGAAATCTGTTGATCATGAAGATGCTTATCTTGCAAATTTTAGAACTACCAAACCTCTATGAACTGAGATAGAACATATTAGCTTAAGCGATATGCTGTTTTATGAGACTGAGCGAAAAACTCAAAAGCAAAGAATTTTCCAGTTTTATTGTTTCTAACAGAACATGAGAGGTTGCTAAGTTTGATTCAAAGGTATGAAAGGTCAGTTTTATTTTCTATAAAATGGCGTTTTGGGTGTGGGTGCAAGTCCAACGTGTACAAGTAACCACGCTCACTCTTCACTGATATCTATCATATAGATTTAGGACAGTTACTCCTAGAACTCTTGCACATGAACATTTGCTCGCTAGAACACTTGCACACGTGAGCAGTTCGTTAAAAGGGTGTGGGTGTGATGAGTGTGTGTGTTGCTCACTTCTTACATACCCACACTCCACACACCCACCGCATCCACATCCGTAACGGAAAAAGAATAGATAATAGATTATCATTTACGTCAATCATTTGAGAATAACGAATTTTATCCCAGAAAATGTTTTTGACTCGTTGTATGGAATGAGTTTTCAAGTTGGAATACAAACTCGTAATAAAGCTGAAAATTCTACGAAAAAGTGAGCTTTTCTATTGGCAATGATCTTTTGAACGTGAACAATAAAAATAGGAATTCAATCATCAATATCTTCATCTGTTTTTTTATTAGTTGCATCCTCTGATTTACAGAGAATATCATTGTTAATTTCATGACCAGTATCATGGCTTTATTTTTTATTTACATTTGAAAAAACGCAACCAACAAAAGCAAAAAAAAACTGTATGCTTTCCTTTTTATTCCTAATTCTTTCTTTCTCCTTTAAGAAAAAAGTACAAAAAGAGAAAGAGTAACAATGTTGATAAACATGCAGTAATTGCACCATAAAAGGATAAAAAATATTCGTATGTTACAGTAAGCTTTTCTTAACCTAGCATACTAATATATAAAAGTGTAACTAGCATGTATCTGGATAAACACTGGATAATCAGAAATAGTGGGACATTTTCCGAAACTAGCACACTACATAAAAAATTCAATAGGTTGGCGTAAATTTTCACGGATAGACAGAATCGAAAAAAGCAATGTTGATCATTGCCACTTTCAAGAGGTTATTATAAATGGAAAAACTCACTTTTTCGTAGAATTTTTAGCTGTGTTACGAGTTCGTATTCTAATTTGAAAACTAATTCCATAGAACGAGTTAGAAACATTTTTTTCGATAAAATTCATTATTCTCGAATGATTGACGTAAATGATAATCTATTATCTATACTTTTTCCGTTGCTAGATAAAATGAAAAACTATGAAATTCGATGCAACTGCTTTCAGTACAATTGATGCTCTGTACAAGTGATACATTATAGAGACCTATAATTTGTGTAGTTTTATGAAGCATTATCCCGACTATCAAACCACTCTTGAACAAGATATATGTGACGGAAATTATCGGAATTGCAGAGTTTGAAACATGTCTAATAAACTAAACGTGTCTTTACTTATTTACCGATCCTTTGATTTTTATATGGAATTGGTGCCCAGCTCTTACTGTTTCGAATGGTGAAAATTGTAGCTCTCTATCTCTTTCCTATCTAAAGCTATTCAGAAAATGCTAACCTGCCATTTATTTTGGATTCAACAATAGTAACAGTTTTCTAAAATAGGTACCCCACCACAGCAGATCCGATTGCTAAATTAATGATTAAAATCAGTTATTCTTGATCAAAATAAAAAATTAGATGGTAGGCAACCTTTGACGTTGATTAACAATCATCTTAGTCACTATTTTCAATTCTGTATTTGTAATCAGAGTGTACAATCTGTCGTGCCTTTGTGTGTCATTACTTTTAGTTTTCTTACCGTATTCTCATCAATAAACACATAACGACGAGGTAGAAACGTTTTCACAGCGTCTGAACTAACAGGCATAATGCGAAAGTGTTTAGTATGCGATACAGAAAACAAAACTCGTTCCTGTTTGTTAAAATTTAAATTTGTTCTGTTGTATGTGATGGGTCATTGAGTGAAAAAGCATGTTTCTCTTACTGCTTTCTGCCCAGAATGTCCTAATGGAAATTTGCTGTTTTTTTTTGGTTCTTCTTTTTATTTGCTAATTGAATTTGAATGAAACAAAATCTACCACTTGTGTTGCAATGCAAGTGTATGAAGAATAGGTGTAACTGATTTCAAACCTTTTAATATACAACTTCCACTCCTACAACTTCATTTCCATTGAATTTTTTGGGTGGGTATCGGTGTGAATTTGGATAGTGAGAAGGGGAACGCCAGCACATGCACACACCCACCTACACCCACAGCCTGTGAGTGTTATGTGAGAGCTTATTTATGGTAAGCACAAATCCACACCCAAAGACGCCACAGATACTTCCACACCTTATTATCATGCAACTCTACTAGATAATCTTCAAACTGATAGAGCTCAAACATAAACTTAGGTACAACTTCGTGGTTGTGGGATGTGGCTGCGAATGTTGGGCTGGACTTTGTGTGAACGATGTAGCCGTGAGTGTGGATGTGGATACAGATGTAATGATGACGGAACTTTACCAGTGTTTCATACCGCTGTTGCTGGTACCACTACGATAAGCATATGAACAGGAACCCATCTCACCCTGACAACCGTACTTATGGTTACCGATTCACTTACGGTAACCGTAGGTATGACGAGAAAACGATGAAAACCGAAAAGTCTACGGTATAACTATGATGAAGGCCGACAAATTGTTAGTGCCGTGTCATCTTAGTAAGAGGTAAGCGATTAAGAGAAGAAAATGGTCTTGACTGTAGATTCCCACAAAGCTACTGATCTCACCAGTCCGTACAATCGTCTAATATGGGGGTTAAGATCGATAAAGCCGGTAACTTAATGAAAACCTACGGCGAAGACCATTTTTTTTCTCTTAGTCAGGTATCTCTCACGACGATAGCTCGGCACTATAGATATGTCGGCTTTCACCGTATATGTACCGTACTCTTTTCGATCTTCACCATTTTCTCATCATATCCACAATTATTTGGTGTGGGGTGTGGATAAAGTTGAATGTGGACCGTCTCTGAGCTACTAACATCTACGTGCATATCTATATCCACATCTCAATCTAAAGAAGTAAACTTATTTTTTATTCTCAACATGTACATAGTATGAATATATATGTGTCAGGCAAAATTAAACGGTTATTTGAAGATTTAAAATTTTGAAAAAATCAAAGATAAAGATTAATTATTCATTTTATATATTTTTATTAAGCAATGATCAACTTTAATTGAAGTTTAGCTAAGCTTAGAAAATTGTAGAGTTCTTCACTATTGCCAATGAAGATCTGACTAGATTTTGGAGGATGTAGAGCTCGCTAATGTTTTTTATACAAATTTAAATTACCATGAGAGATCGTAGAGTTCGCCACTGTTTCTAATGAAAAACTGACTACGTTTAGGAAGTTGTTGAGATCACTAGTGTATTCTATAGAAATCTAAAGTATCATAGGAAGTTATGGAGCCCACCATCTGACTTAACAAAGTAAACACTAAATTAGCTGCCTGAGAAAAAGTGAAAAAAAATGAAAAACAGGAACCAAGAACTTGAGCTTACTTTCATTTTTGTGTGAATATGCATTTGTCTTCAAGTTAGTCCCAGTCTATACTAATTACGTTTTATGGTAGTTTCAATTTACAATAGATTATTCTTATCAATATCGGTTACGCAAGCGGATGGACTGAAGTGGTCGACAGATTGATCAATTATTCAACACTTTAGTGACTTTATAAGAGTCAAATAAAATTCTGGATGACTTATCTTGGCTTTATAATTGTTATAATAATAATAATAATAAAGTTTAGGCTAACTACGAAGATACTTTTCACTATCTCGACTGGATAGACTATTCTGATGGCTATCTCCAGATAGTAGTATTCTTCGTACTTGGTAAGAATAATAGCTCTGTTGCAAAAGATATACGTTTATAATCAAGTTTTTCAAAAGAATGTAAATTTTCAGAACACGATAGACAAATCCATAGAAAAAGCTTTGTTGATTGACTTACACACTAGATCGAATAAATTTTGAAGGTGTGGGTGTGGATGTGGGTGTGAGTGGGGTGTGAGTGGGTGTGGGTGGACTGTGAGTCGGTGTGGGTGGGGTATGTGTGGGTGCGAGCGTGGGTGGGTGTGGGATGTGAGTGTGTGGATGAAGGTATGGGTGGGTATGAGTGTGGGTGTGAATGGGTGTAGGATGTGGATGTGGGTAGGAATGGCTGTAGCTGTGGTTGTGGTTGTCACGAGAAAACAAAAACTCATCCATACCCACACCCACCCTATATAATGAAAAGAAAGATTCTAGTTAAATAATATTATTTAATGGTCTTTTTATTATTCGGACTTGGTATGGTGCACGTGGTCTTGTGCTTCTCTTCGTCTTCCGGGTCCCCATGTGCACAGTGAAGAAACAAACTCAGTAGTACCAGTATTACCCCATTGCACCCAACCCCAACCAGGTTTTTCTTCCAACATAGGACGTGGAACACGAGATCGAAATTCTTTATCCTTAGTTTCATTTCCCCACGCTGATGCCAAATTCAAGAATGCTAGAATGTGTTGTTCGACAATACTGGGCAATTTTCCATGGTTCCATCGACGAAATACTCCGATAATTATACCATTCGGGATACAGAGAACATTATTTGATTTTAAAGGGGTGTGTTGTTCAGGATCACCAATAAAAAAAATTGCGAAATGTTCAACGACGGCTATCATTATTAGTGAGATTCCGAATGTGCTGAAAACGATGTGGTATTGAATTCGAAAAGACTATAACAGTGCCGGTTCAAATAGATAATATACAATGGTTTGTTTCCGAATTCGCAGACTACATGCTGTCTGGTTTGGATCAACTTTTGGATGAAACTTCAATGAACCACCTGTAAGTTGATCGTCAACATATAGATAATAAACTCCTACAGCAATATTATTTTCTGTTAGACCTTCTGTGTGTCATCAGCCTGAATATTTCATTCCTCATGAAGGAATAAATTATTTGTATTACTGTTCACAGTTCGAAAGTAACTTTACCAGATCTTAACTTATAACTTTGAGCTTTCACAATGACCTGTAACCGTTGCTCTTCGTCAATATTTGTTTTAATTAATTTTATCTTTTCAAACATAGGTAGCATTGCATGAAATCTGCATGCAATATCTCCATAACCCTGTCGATATTCTGGCTAAACAGGTACATGATGAATCGGTGTTTTAATATCAACTTTTCCATGTTTATCAATAACGAATTCGGATGACAACCATTGATAAGTATTTCGTAGCTTTTCATGTTTGGAAAAATCAGTATATGATCCCCTTTGTAAATCTCGTGTGAACGCCTATTGTTTATAGTCGCTCGAATGTCGTAATTGTTTTAACAGTCGTTCAAGCCATCGATTTCGATCAACTGTTGATCCCGGTCGAGAAGGCAATAGATCAGGATCAATGATATCTTCAGCAGGTAATGGATATGGATGAAAATCTCGTCTTCTTTCACTCAGATCGTGTATAACATCTAGAAGCCGTGTATGGTGTCGTTCGGTAACTGGCAATTGTTCGTGAATGCATACGGGATACACAAGAAAGTCTCCACCACCATCATCATATAATACGTGTTGATCATCATGAAGTCGGCAAAAGTCTGATTTAAGAATTATAGTTTCATCGATATTTTCACGCGAGTCAACAAACCAATTTTCATCAATTTCAACCCATTTACAAACCCAACATGGTTACCTTTCTTCCGATCAATAATTTGTACACATATAATCGGAACATTTGTTAACTTTGAATTCTTGTTCGTTCAATCATATATGAATGTGTATCTCTGGCTCATAATCAACTAGATAAACGAGACAAGGAAAGTGTTCTATTCAATATGTTCTGCTATGTATATGTCCTCTAGCAAGTTCCAACATAAGGTTCTCATCTATTATATGGATTGTATACCATCGATACAAATATTCAGTCGGATGGAAACTGATAAAAAGGACATGTTTACTATTCTCAGTATCAGTTGGTGGTTTCGAAGCAGCCATAACTAACACAAGAAAATACAAAAGGATCTGCGGTAGCGTGACAAGAGGAAATCATGTCATTTATAATGACGACGATGCTCCCCAATTACGTTGTCTCAGTACACATGCTTGAATTAGCCATTGAAAATTATAGAGAAAAAGATGACACTAGGTGTCTTACTGGTAATATGCCGTCAAAAATTATTGTCAATCAAAAGTTCTGTCCTGTCAATGGTCCGATGAATTAGGTACTAATAGAATGTGTATTTTAATATAGAACCTTTTTGTAGTAAAAAGAAATTTGAATGAATATTCTCTATGCTACTAACCTTTCCAACCCCCCACCCCCAAAATAAAAGGCCATGCACATATACTGTGTCCCGGCGCATCATTCATTTTTCCATGGTCTTCTATTCAGGGTGACCTTCTAAGACGTCTGAAATCTAGAATGTCCCATTTTTAGCAAGTTTCACTTTTATTTTTTGCTTAATACAAACAATTTTTTTTCATAATAGAGATCATTTGTTTTCCATATATCGAGTAAAGTCTTTTGTTTGAACTCTTCTCAACATTTCGATTGTGATGTTCCGTAGCTTTACGAGCTTCTTCTTCAATACCTAAGGTCATCGGCTACGTTTGGATCTTTATTAGTCGAATAATCAACATCAGTTGGATCAAAAGAATAATCTGGTATATTGGGAGGTCGTACCAGACTGTTACCATTCCACACATATCTCAGTTCCAGAAACGATGCCATTGGATCAATGTTGTTCAGTGTGCGAGACCACGCAGATGACACGGATTCGGCACATTCGTAGTGAAGGCGCTTGAATGTAGAAAGTAACTTGCATATCCAGTGCTTGAATGTACATGAGGGTGAGGATGGGGTGAGATTGCAGATAGATACAATCGTAAGCTAATAAAATGCGTTGCGATAGATCCTAATTGAATCTTGTCAATTGCTAGTGATTCAAAAGATGTTAATTAAAAACTCTCCTATTATGTTTAGTTGATGAAGTCGAAAGTTCTAATTAAACATAAAATACTATGAGGGTGAGTGTGCAACAAGCTACCACGATGCAATGTAGTATTTCATTTTTGCAGATAAAAGATTATCAAGTGGTATATACTAATGCATATAAAGATCAGTTCAATGAATAAGTAATCTAACACAGTATTTTGAAGAAATCTAATCACCTTAAAGGATGAGACAAGCTGCTATGACCGGTTTCGTCCTTGCTCACGGGACTTTTCAAATGACTTAACCAATTTGAATTAATAAATTCAAATCAGTTGAAAACTTTATTGTTACTATATGTTAAAGAACATAAGTAATGGTAGAAACAATAGGCAGTGGCGAGAACAACTACCTTAATTTATAGATTTCACTGCAGCTAAGCAGATCTTCGGATGGCAGATGAATCTTAATGATTAAATAAAAGAATCATAAGATCAAATTATACTGTTGTATATATCTCGAAAGACAATGTACAATGATAATATAGGGATACTGTGGTAAGAACACATGCCAATAGTCATAATTAAGAACGTATGTCCACCCTTATAATCACATCCAATGTACTAATTATTATAATATTTGCACTAAAGACACTTGCTATTTTCCATATTATTTGACTGAAAGCCCATGTGTCATTTTATTTGATTTGTTTTATAAAATTAACTGAAAGCTAAAAACGTATGACAGTTGCTTAGTTTAGAAAAAAATATTTTGTGGTCGGTTGGAAAACAGATCAATCGATCTTATGAAGAAAAGACAAATCAATACGGTTACTCTCAACTTTTGCTTGTCAGCAATCGATTTGATGACATATATAAGTCATTTTCAATGCAGTGCTTTGAGTTTGCTAGATGAATTCCAAGCGACTTACGACAATCGTTTTGTCCTTGCTTAAGGAACTCATCGAGTATGTTTAGCATTTATTATTACATTGAATAATGTACATCGAAACTTTTCAAATCTTAATAGGCAAGTTATGAAATATATTAAAAAATTGGCAAGAATTTTTATCTTCTGATATAAAAGTTAATCAAACCTTGAAAGTACCACAAAATCGCTATTTCGACCTTCCTTAAGGATCAATCATGTGGTGTGTTTAGAAACTGTTTTTATATGAAGATCATAGCCATATAAATAAAACAAGAAGTTAAAATGTTGTCACAATGCGTGTGAAGTATTGAACGCCAAAGTGTCACGATTTCTGTGCGCTAGGGACAACCTTCGGTTGCCCTCGCTACCGCCGACTTTCAATACGCGAAACTATTAGGGATGCCGCAGGCTGTTTTCTATGGGAAATATGCATTGCTAATGTGAGTTATGTTTAATTTTCTATTTCATTATTAGGGGCCCCTGCAGGTCAGGACCCAGCAGCTCGCTTGTTTCTTTCCGAAAGGAGAAACGTAATGTACAGACCTGTAGGGTCCCTAGTAGTATGAGAGCACTCCACTGCTATTTTGTGTTTTCCTTATGCAAGACGACTATCTTGAGGTGAGGGGTTGTCATGGTCACGAAACGATTCGAAAAAACAAAACTTATAATTTCAATGAATTTCTCATCATTAGCTCATCTAATTGCTGATTATTTATTTACATAGGGCATACCAAAAGTAGTGAGAGTGACACTTTAGCACCAGATAGTACACTTAAAGAAACTTTCTTTCTGTATAGTCTGATAGAGAAAAAAAAGCTCTATCTTTCTATGCGATTTAATGATGCTTCAACTAATATCATAATACTAAAATTTCGATAAGATGTGTTTCGTTATCATATGTGCTGGTTGTATTAATACTCATTTTAAAAAATACAAGTGACTATTTTTTGAATAACTTTTGATAAAAACAAGATAGAGTACTTCGGTTTTTACCGTTGGAAAGAGGAGATAAAGATGCATTGAGTCATGTATCCCAGTTTTTCCTAATCTGTTTTTTGTAAGTTTTTCAATTGATCTTTTCAAAAACAAACCTATCTGGTATGTTTTTTTACAATGAATTTCTAATTATCAAGTATAAATTCAAGCCACTAATCCAAGATCTAAAAGGTTCGGAACGCTAAGATAAATATTATGCATTCTTGTCAAACCTCTAATGCGATTTTGTAGTAAAATCTGTAAAGAAAGCTTAGTTTTTTGCTTTCTCCTTTTTTTCATAAAAGAACCATTTTTACGATTGTTAGAAAATTTAATAAAAATACTTCAGAAGTCAATATTAGAAAAATCTACAATATACAATTCGATGCATCTTCATCTCCTTTTTCCAATGGTGAAGATCATACTTCTCTATCTTATTTGTATCAACAGTTATTCAAAAAATACTCAGTAGCATTCATAGAACCGTGACATATGCGAACAAAACAGATCTTATCGAAATTTCATTAATATGATATTAGCTGAAGTATGACCAAATAGCATAGAAAGATAGAGCTTTTTTTTCTCTATCAGACTATATAGAAAGAAAGTTTCTTTAAGTTCACCATACGGTATTAAAGAGTCACTCTCACTACTTTTGGTATGTCCTAAGTAAAATTATCTGAATTTCTAATCATTTATATGAAATTTCTAATTGATTCTTGCAAAATAAACTATTCTTGATTTCTGATCATCATTCTCTTACCTTGAAGGGGAAGGTAAGTCAAGGAAACTATGACGCGTTTTGACTGTTGTTTAAGCAGTCTTCATCAGGTAGCTTCGACTTTGTAATCATTCAATCATCTCGAAAGATCATGAGGGTGTGAGGGTAAATATAGCTACCACAATACCAGATATTTCGATGTTGCTTTGATCTTATCAAGTAGCACAAGTATCAGTATAAGAGATCCAAGAAGACTTGAGTGAATACATGATACTATAACTACTCAGAGGACAAGTAAAATCACCGTAGAAGGGTGAGTATTGCAGTGAGGTCTACTTTTCGTTTAGAGCGTAGAACATTGAATTTGAAAAGTTTTACAAAATTCCCGAAATTTCTCGTTAGCGGCAAGAAAATTGTTTTTTCGAAATTTCGCTCCTTAACTAAAAGCAAGGTCCTCGACCCTATTCAGTGTGGTTGATCATGTATGTGTAGAACTCTTTTTGACCGAAAAACTCGGATTTTCCAAGTAAGTTTCTTAAGTTTGGACGGTTCAAAACTCCTAAAGGAAGCAAAATTTGACAGTTGCCTGAATACTATTCGAAACAGATCTTCTAGGTCTATATATCTAGCGACAAAAAGCAATTCCCGAAAAATTTTTTCTACCAAATCGATTAAACTGTTTGATGTTTTACGGCTATAAAAACCAAGAAATTTTCATTAAAACATGCAGTATTGTTATGATTGTAACGCTCCCGGTTGAGTACATTTTATGTATGATCTTCAATCTGTTCTAATAATCCTTTTCATCCTACGGATTACCCTTATCGTCCTATCATACGGCATATTACACTTTGTCCTTCTCGTCCTTTCTTCTTTTTGATAGACGACTATATAAATGTATGCTTTGTATGGAAAGGAGACGATTCTTGAGAATAAAAAATAATGAAAAGCGTAGTTTTATCAGCGCCAGCATCTCTTCTATCAAAAATTATCACACTTGTGTGATATTTGCAGAGACACTCTTTCGTTTGCCAGAAACTGTAGACGCCTATCTTTTTTCGTTAAAAAGTTATTCAAAGAATGGTGAAAGGCGTCTAACTTTCAAGGAAATAATAGAACAAGTATTGCACAATTTCGAAAAGATTCACTCACGTCCTAAAAAACCCTTGAATTATCTCGTTTAAAATTAAGGTCATAGGAGTTTCTCAAAAAGGACCTTATTGTAGTGCGTCGAAAATTAATAGAGGTGTTTCGGATCTATTAAGCAGCTCAATTTCTGATGTGCCAACTCAAATCTGGTCGATTTACAAATTGAATATGAATAAAGTTTTTAGCTCGGTTTAAGAAGGCTTAGCTCGTGCAAATTCATCTACTTCTATTGAACAAAACGCATATTTTAAAATTAAACCATAGCTGCTTTCATTTTGTAACTAGTAAAGGACACTTGATAAAAGTCTCATAGCGTCTGCTTGAAGATTGATCCTATACTGCGACAGAGCATAACCTTTTTGTACGTTGGTTCTCTTCGGAAAAACTGATTACAGTGGATAGAACTGGAAAAAAAAGCTTCATTTCCGTTTCAAGGTGAAACCTTTAGGACATCGTACGGCAGTACAGCAAAAATATGCAGAATCTAGTAATAGCTCGCACGCTTCTGTTATTGCGCAATGGTTATATAAGTTTTAGAATCATTTCCAAAAACTTTTCTAACATTGTCTTTCATTTTTAAATAGGAGCATGATTTTCGTTGTGATCGGATTAAGAAATTTTCATGAACCAGTCCGTCCTAACAAACAGTTTCGGGATCGTAAACGATATGATTTTGTTCGATCAGAAGTGAGTGATTACTGAAGTTTTCAGAATAAAGAGCAACGAGTCTAGTTATAAAAAAAAAGACCGTCGCTAATATTAAAAATCAAATGAATTTCACCTTCATTATTTTGATCAATCAAATATAGATTAAAAATATGCATTGTGCCTAAAAATGAATAATCAAAATGATCTTGCAATTTTTTTTTGAGTTTCTTTCGTAACTATAATTTAAAAAACGTCACAATATACTTATGACTAATAGATTGAAACTGTAGAAAGAAAAAGGCGAATATGATTAGACGATATGCGATAGCTCATGGTGATTTTTTGAAAATAGCATAATAATAGAAGCGTGTATGAACTTTCTCAGGTCATTTCATAAAATTCTCGTTGGAATTTGAAACGAAAGCCAAAATGATCTTAGGAGATTACTCAAAGTTTTAATGAACTGCTGTGTGCTGAAGTGCTTGACGCTTCTTCACATACTTTAATATAGTGATAATTATCCAGAACAAGTGTTAAAATTTATAAAGTAACTTGGAAACTTAGAAGAATTAGAGGAAATTTCATTTTCATAAATAAAAGCTTCTTAATATTGATCATCTAAAAAAGTACGTCCAAACTGGATAAAAAAGCCACATTTTCCGATACGTTCCATTAGGAAAAGGCGTAGAAACAATGTCAATGCTTTCCAAATTGGACTCTACTCAAAATATCCATTGCAAAATCGAGTCTCTTTAAAGTTGTCTTCTGTTCAAACATTATTTGAATTTCTTTAGCCGTAAGCTTCCGTTTCCAAACACATATTTCAGCTAGATGAGTATCCGTAGGGGATGCTTCAATACTAATATCATGATATGGTGGACGAAAACGTTTCGAAAGTTTATATTCGGCCAGCTTTTGACTGTTTAAATACAATTCTATTGATGTATCGTCGGGTGAAGTTTGAGCGATTAGAACTGTAATGTGGTGCCAGATGTCAAGTTGCAATTTTGGTGAATTTGAATGCTGGGATTGAATACAACAGGCGTAGTTGACACCAAATTCTAAATGTCGTTCCGAATTCACATAAATAGTAATAGGTCTACTCCTTCGAGGCCTATCTTCTGTTAAATCCAATGTAAATGTTAGCCAATTACTATCTTTACTCGGTGGTCGCTTGCATAAAAAGAACCAAAATGATAAGGAACAAGTTTCCAGCATCGTTCGACTGCGAAAAAGGTCATAATCATTGCGAATTTTAAGAAAATCACCAGTAGTTTTTAATATATGACCAAAAGAAGAATCTTCCTCAATTATGATTTCGCTCTGATCACGGATAAAGTTATCCCAATGACCACGTTTTAGGCTTTTAATTGAGTTAAAAAATGGGTTTTGACCCAGAGCGATATTTGAAAAATTGTAATAAATTATTAAGTCTTTAAAAAGTATTGGATGTTCAGAAAAATATCTCCTCAGAAACCATTCGTTCAAGATAAGTTTTCGAAATCGATGACAGACCGTTGATAGACAAATGAGATCATTAAAGGAAGATATTGACAAAAAGATTGACTGCCATATTTCATCTGAAAAGTAGGAATCGTTGCTAAATGTAGTAGTTACTGTTGTGTTGGGTTTTGTTCGACGCGGCATTCTTCTCTCAGACAGATATCTAAAATAAAAGTCGAGGAAAATTATATTATCGGTGAAATCTGTGGAATAAGTATAATAAGGAACACTGTTCTACGTGTTATTTCGGCTGTGTAACTAGAGTTCAGTCATTCGGTTGCAAAATATGCGTGCACTTATTATCAATAAACTGCAAAAGACTTTTACTGTACACTTACTGACATCCGTCTGATGAAAGCTAGAGGATTTTTTTATGTAAAATTTTGGCTTTAGAGGCCTATTTATTATTTACACAAAAATTACCAAAACAATCATTATTACTGTTTTTTTTTGTGCTTGTTTGAAAAGGGTTGATGAAAGCTATTGAAATATTACGCACAATATAAGAATCAACAAAAAAATGAATCATGGAATGTTACTCACTCTGATGAAAAATTATGTGTCATGCATCATTTTTGCGTTCTTCGAATGATAGACACGATTGCTATACATTTTTTGTTTCTTTCTACTATCAACCAAATGCGAAGTGAAAATGTGTAACGCCCATGTAAACACAAAACGCAAAATCGATGCGTTGCAACACTATTTGACAATAAAACACTTTGAGACGCAGCTAAAAATGTTTTCACGACGCAAGCAAACGCGGTTTCATATGAAACGCATTGACACGCAGTAAAAAATATTTTGAAACACATTTGGACGCAGTTTTTCTTTATAAAACTTCTAAACACAATTAGAAAAAAATGAAACGCGTCTCAGATATTCTTTCATTCGTGTTGGGATGCTATTATATCCCTGAACGCGTTTGCACGCGTTTATTTCTCTCCTTTCCGATGCGAATTTACTCCAAAAACTTTTTTCTAGAAGGGTGAGCCCCGTGATGGAAATCGTCGTCTTACATCTGTTTTAATTATCCAAATTTCATTGGACGCATTAGTAAAGAATGTTCAGATGACGTTAAAATCGACAAAAATTTAATTAAACATAAGGCATATAATCCATATTTTTCTAAAATTTGTATGAATAATAGTGAGACAATATCGCAATAGTTTTAGGCTATCCAATGACCTTTTAGCAAACTGATAAATACTACTGTTTAAATTATACGATTCACAACTTCTATCATACTTCTAAATAAACCTTATGAATAATTATTTATTCATTAAATCCTTCGATAAAATTATATGTCATGTTACTACTATTAAGTCGATCATATAGTTATTTTGTTCGTTGTTCATTAATTCTACATCTTAATCGTTTTGTACGAGAGTGCGAGTGGGTGTGAACAGAATCGATCTATTTGATCAGCATTGATTTTTTTCTTGAGAAAATCTTCAATTGATTATATTGATCAATATAATAAATATAAACGTTTTATCTTCTTAATCTGGTTTTCATTCAATGACAGATATTTTCAAGTATTTTATATTCTTTACGAAAAAAAACAATCTTGCAATATATATTTGCTTAAAAGATATTATTATAGATTAATGTTCGTACTAAGTTCTAATACATATTAAAGCAACATTTATTTTTTGTATTAGAAAAAATAAAAAAAATACATGAAAAAAATAGTTTGATTTCATGTTCGATTTGAATTGAGATTACTTCATCGAATGAGTTATGCCAGTTGAACACAAAAAGAAAATGATTTCTCTTATTGTTATATTTCTCATGTTTTCTTTGAGTGATGAATGGATGTGTGATTTTGATCATGGACAAATATGTCTGAAAGGTCTTCCATCAGCTTCATTTGTTGTAATAAATGAAACAAGTCAACAAATAAGACAACCTGCTTCTGATGTTACGTCTATTCGTAAGAAATAAAATATTATTTATTATATTCAAATTCATAGTATTTTGTAGTTACATCAAATGATCAAGGAAAATGCTTTTTTCCTTATAAAATTAATTCATTTGATATGTTTTTCTGTTTAAAAACTAATTCGAATCTTCCAGCAACATGTTCTATTGAACATGAAAATGGTCCGAAAATAAATTGTAGTGAAGGTATTTTCAAAAACAAAAATCTTTCATATTTATAGTTTTATTGTATTAATCTAGGCGAATATGGATATGCAAAATTTGAAGAAAATCAAAAAGGATCTCGTTCTTATGAATTAGAATCACTCCCAATTTTATCAATCGGTCATCATTGTATACGAATATTTTATTATTTTTCGGATGGAAATTCAAATGCAACTATTCGAATTATCTTAGAAGATTCCCAAACACATCAAAACCGAACTATTCTCACAGTTTCATCATATGTAGCTAACAAATGGCATGAAATTAGACAAAATTTTCAAATATTTAATTCAATTTCCAATGTAAATTTTACTTTTCTTTAAATAATTTATTAGATAATTACTTAAATACATGTTTTTTCTATTCGAACGTGGCTCTTCAAATGCAGAGTCATTTTATATTGTCATTGATACAATAACTCTTATTGATCTTTATTGTGGTATCAAAAATTCACACATACGTTCATTATACTCTTATTTTATTTTTTTTTTGCTTTTTCTTAGAACCCATCAGTACAATAACAACAGCGACAACAATAACAACGACATCACCACCACCAACAACAACAAGAGTGACAGTGATAACAGCAACAGCAATAACAACAACGTACAAAGTAAATAATTGATGTATAGATGGTAAAATATGATATATTCTGTAGTTAGCAAGTTCAACAAAGCCAGAGACTAATACAATAGTAACAAGCATAACAAGTTCGACTGTTGGAAAAAATAGTAGTGTCATGCTTACTACAACTAATCTGTCTAATATGAATAAAAGCACATCAAGTGCTATTGATGCAATCAATTCGACTCTTTTAACAACTCGTATTACTACAAAACGTCCAATTTTGTCAATAAATACTACAATAAATATAATGACAATCAACAGTACAACAATAAATCGAATTAATTCTACAATAATTAGTTCAACATTGAGTGTAAGTTGATTGATTTTGCTAATATCATATAATTAATATTCTATTTTATAACTAAAGTCATCATCAAAAGATCGATTATGTTTTACAAGTAAGAAAACAATACGAAATAAAATTTATTAAAAAAAACGTCTGTTTTTTTTATATTTATTTAGTTGAAATCAGTGTTTTATTGGTTAATTTTGTTCTATTTTCATTTCGACATTAATTATCCAGAAAAGAAAAATTAATAAAATGTTTGAGTTCATCGAAAATATTTCAAAAATCAAATTGTTTGAAACATCCGCAAATATTTTTTTGCCTTTCTTTTTTATTAATTTTCATAAATAGTTAATGTTTTGTTTTGTCTATGAATAAAATAAAAATCATTGTTGAAGACATGATCATAAAAATTGTTTGAATAAATTTCGACCAGCATAAAATTTTTATCGAAATTGCATTTGAATTGACCATATTATTCTCTTTTCAAGTACTTTCATGAAAATAAAAGAGTGGGTGTGGGTGTAAGCATAGCTATTCCCTTCAAGCACATCCACCCCATAGTTCATTACTTGCTACGATCTACAATAATGTTGCTATACTGTATAGAGATATGGGTGAACATGCTGCTGCATCCGCGTTCTATCAAAAATTATTCGATACACAGCAACAATTATCTTCTCATTGTGATACTGCTATCGCTACTACTTACAATATGATTGGTCTTATATATTATAATATGAAGGAATATTCAACAGCTTTAATATTTTTTTCAAAAATCATTGAATATTAGAAAGGATTGTCTACCTTCCAATCGCCTATCTCTAGCTCAATCATTTTACAATATTGCCGAAACTCAGCTATCAATGAAAGATTATTCTAATGCACTAACAAATCAAATTAAAGCATTTGAAATACAAAAAAAATCAGTTCTTCTGAAGATTCTTAATTAGCTAATGCAATCATTAATGTAGTTTTGGTATATTCACATTTGGAAGATCATACCATGGCATATATCATTCTGCGAAAAAACATTAGAAATTAGATAGATTTCTGTAGCTTCTGATGATCTAAGTTTAATCAGTCTATATATCTACATGAGTAGAGCTTATCATGATACGAACAATTATTCAAAAACACTATTTTATCTAGGAGAAATCTATAAAATTAAGAGGAAAAGAAAATCTTCTGATGATCTTGATTTGGCTAATGATCTTAGAGATAGTGGTTGATTCATGATTTAATGAAAATTATACAACAGTGCTCTCTTTTTATTAGTGAGCTTTTGATATTGGAGAAAAGTTTCTACTAGCAGACAATGAAAATTTATTGAAATTAAAAAATAGAATTTCAGAACTTCGAAATAATTTATGATGCTATACATTATTTTGAGTACTATAAACAAGAAAAGAAACATAAAACAATTATAATCGATGAACGAGAAACAACTGTTTTATCAATATTTTTCTCTATTGTCGTTTTTTGGCAAGTTAATGAGAGCAATTAATATTACATACAAGATTTTGTATATCTAAGCTCAAAAGAATGTGAATATAGATTAGGGTCCTACGAATCCGTTTCATCCTATTCTAAAGGACTATAGAAGATAAAAATGGCAGTAGTATTACTAGTTCAAATAAAATCAAAATATCCTTCATATTAATAAAAATTCATTGATTAAATAACTTCGAAAATTCTTGTAACATCAATTGTAATTGAATAAATATTAAGCAGAACCTAATTTTGGAATGAATTGATTGGAAAGCAAAAAAATGAATTCGAGAATAGTAGTATTTTATTTTTACGCACTATTGACTATAGATTAGTAAGTTAACTAAATTCTGATAGTTTTGTCGACGAAACTTCAATCATTATAATAAGAGAAAGAACGTTCACTAACTAGAAAAGAAGGAAACTATGAAATTCAATAAAGCACAGAACATTGATTTCGATAAAAGAAACTTTCTTTTCATCGAATAAGAAAGATCAAAATTATGAACTTTTGTGGGCGTGGATGTCAATAAAGCTGTGGTTGGGTGCCCCATTTTCTTCCTCTACATCCACACATTTAGTAAATCTTCTAATTTTGCCTATCTAGATGAATTTTCATAGTACAAATGTTAACTGTCTTAACCCCCCCCCCCCCCCGCTAAAAACATTTTTTTTTCTGAGCATCCAATCTTGACGAAATTTTCAGTGGAGGTGTATCTTGGGCTAGGCAGCTCACAGTAAAAATTTCAGCTCGATACATTGAGTTTACGAAGAGCTAGCTTAAGGTTATGGGTCAAAATGTAGGTTTCTGTGCGTTCCAAAGAAAGTTCGGATTGGTTTTAAAAGGTAGCCCAGACATGGTACCACAAGTTAACAGGGCTCAATTTTTCTTTTTTTCCTAGCTTGTTTTTCTAGAAGACTTCTCTAGTAAAATACGGAAAACCCAGGGAGTGTAGGTTCGAAACGGTTAGTTTTTAATAAACATTAAGGGCAAATCAAAAAAATCAGGCTCTGTTAAGTTGTAAAGCTAATTTTTATCTTCATTATGACACCAAGCCCAGCATTTTAGCGTTTAAAATGGCGGAGAAATCTGGAAAACACGAAAACGTAAAAATCAAAAATCCTATTTTGAGAAAAAAACCAATTTTTTTAGGAAAAACGCAATTTTCCTCTATGGGAGATTCAGAAAAGCCTGTGTAATATCCTTAAAACTCATCATAAAGTCTATAAACTATAGTGCATTCGAAAGTAGACACTTAGCTCTATCTAACGAGCTATGCATCACAAAATTGACTTTTTTTCTTTTGAGGGGGGGGGGAGTGGCTTAAGAAATAAAAATTATGTAATACGTAGAAGAAAGATTTTTTCTTTCAACATCGCGTAATTCAGCTATTTTTGTTTTTATTGTCGTCATCCTTATAAAAACTACGAGAGTGTTGAATTATTCTCGGCTTTATTGAAATTATCGATCAGTCATAATTAGACAAATAAATATATGCTGTAGTATCTTAACTATATGAACATGTTGAAAAAATGCAAAAAGAACAAGATAATATCAGTGAATATACATTTATAATTTAATCACAAGAGATTTCTATGATAAGTAGAAAATATTTGGAATTCAAGAAAAACTCAATTATTTCTATTGTAAAAATTGATTTGTTTTATTTAAAATATGATACAATATATTTCGATTTCATAATAATGTTGAAATTGAAAATTTCACAAATAAGATTAATAATGGTTTTTATGCATAAAAGTTCATTTGTCAACAAAACAAAAAGAACATGTGCAGTCCACTATTTCATTTTATTGAAAAAGAGAAATTGCTTTGTTTTTCTTTTTGCATACATTCATAAATCAATCTCTTTCAAAACTTTATTCAAAAAAGTTATTTTTTTTCCAAAATTCGAGTATCTAGTTGTGTATTATTGATCATTCTTCTAATTGAATTGAATTATAAATGGAAGATATATAGAAAATTTAAAAAAAAATTCTATTAATTTATTCAATGTAGGAATATAATACTTCAATGGAATTTGACAGCAATACTCTTAATAACACTGACACAGGTTGTAAGTTAAATAATTTTTATATAATAAGTTATATAAATCAAAAGGTGATCGATTAGCTAGAGAAACAAATGATAATGTAATTACTGTAATTGAATCATTGAAGAAACACTTTATTGATGAAAATGATGATTGTCCAAGATTTTTTATGGATTGTTTAAAAAAAGCATGCGAACATGCTTTTAGTTCAACAAAAATTGAAGAGGTTCGTTCATATATGCTTAGAATTCGACGAAAAATTTATTCTAATTTAGCGTCGTCCAGTACTTGTCAACATTCAAAATAGAAAAAGTACAATCAATACTATATTTGATTCTTTCAACATTATCGATTATTTAAATGAAAATTATATTGTATGGACATGGGATATTAATTTAGAATCGAATAGAATTTTGTAAGTTATCTATAATTGATTAATTATTTTAAAAATTAGTTTTTTATGATCAGAAAACGAATGTATTCGTTCTGAAAAGAAGAAAGTAATTATATTTTTTGTTTATATAGACTTAACAATATGTGGAGAGATGTATTTTCATGTGAATTTCCATATAGTCGAAATGTAAAAGAATATCCAATATTAATTGGAATAATGAGATTTTATCAAGAGAAAAAAATTGATTTATTTATATCAGCATATCAATTTAAAAAATTACTTCAAGGTGAAATTTTACGAACTGAAAACATTTATATTGAAAAGATATTAATTGATAAATTAGCACTTTTTAAAGCAGAATCCGACGAAAATAAACGTAGTTTAGTAAGTTTACATTGATTTTATAGATAGAAAAAAAAACTAAAAGATAATTTGTATTAATATTCTTTCAGTCATTTGATTTCATTTGTAAGAGTGGTCTTTGTTAGAATGTTATTTTTGAAATTCTCGAATATCTTACGTTGAATGATGCTATAAGTCTATTTTCTGCTAATATTCTTCCAATTCTACGTAAATATAATAGAAAAATTTAGGTTTATCTATCGTCTGATGCTTTTATTGAAACAATTCTTTCAAAATTAAAATCCGAACAAATTGTTTCATTACGTTTAAATAGAAATTTTGATCCAATACAATCAACATCAAAATCATTCCATGTTTTCTATTATGTAACTTCATTACATCTTTATAATTTTTATGATGTTAAGTTAATGTTCAGATTCAAAAGACATTTTCTTAAATTGATTCGAATTTCGTTTTGCTATGACGATCAAGTTTCTCTTTACTGTCTAAGTCGTATGTTGATGTATCTCCCAAGGTCAGTCAAACGATTAGAAATACACTCTGAAATATTGTTATGCAATGATTTTCATAAATTTTCACGTTATTTGCGATCTTCAATAAGTAAGTCCATAGAATATATTCTTATTGATATAAAAAGATCTTCATCGTGTTCAATAAACGATACTTTCCAATTTGATCGATCATTTTCTTTTATAAAAATTGCTGATTTTTTTCAAAATATCTCAATATTCGACATATTCATTTAATAATAAACAAACAAAATATCAATCAGTTCTTAAATTTAGATCAATGGAAAATATTAAGACAAAATTGCCAGATGTTAAATAAAATAACCTTAAATATAATCGGAAATATCTTAGAAGATAAAGAATTTACGCAAACATTGTTAAAAATTCAAACGGAATTACAAAAAATTGTTAAATTTCGATTTACTTATATATAAAACTCTCTTAGTCTTTTATTTGAAAATAATAGACATTATTCCTTTTTTTTTCTATGAATGTTTTATTAATACATCTCTTATTTTTTGTGTGATATTCAAGATTTTTATTTCTTCTTCTAACTTCATTTTTGACCAGAAAAATTCGGAGAAAAGAAAACAAACAGAACGGCTTCACTCTTTTTTTTTTATTCTTGAAAGAAGATTTTAGAAATTCACCATTTATTTGAATAATTATCTTAGATTCAAATGTGTATTTTCATAATGGAGACAAAAACCATTCAGGGTGGGTGTGATTGTTGATGTGTATCTACACTTTGCTTACGCCCACACCCATAAGTCCCTTAAACGAGGACCAAACCCGTCACGACTGCTTGTTCATATTCAGTAGACATCTCTTATAAACCATGAACGATATTTCAACGTAGTTTTTATTTCTAAAATTAGCAAGTTGCATAGCAAAGGAAACGACGAATCCTTCAACATATATTGACTAACAAATATTTTTTATTGTATTCTGTCAAATTTTTGTATGCGAAAATTGTGAGTATCTGTAACGTATAAATTCATTTCTGAATCAAATGTTATATCTTGTGGGTAAGATAATTGATTACTACTACTTCCAGCGTCTCCCGTTCCTGCAACCGTAATACCAATTACAGAATTTGGACAAAACATTTGCACACGATTGTTGTATGAATCTGACACATATAAATTTCCATATCTATCCAGAGTTATGCCTTGAGGACGGTTTAATTGGACTGCACTATCACCAGATCTTCCAGGTATACCAGCATATATATTACGAGGTTCATAATCACCAATAACCCATTGTGTTATTGAATGTGATTCTTCATTTGATATATATAAAATTTGATTCTGTTCATCTAAATATAAGCCATTAGGATTATTTAATTGATATGGATTAAGACCTGCACTATTACCACCCTAAAACAATAATTAAAATCATCGTATCAAGTTTCTTCCTTCATTTATAGATAATTAGAAGCTTCTTTTATGAAGCATTAATTTTATCTTATTGAATAGAAGTAGAATCAATAACTTACAGCAATAATTGTGCCAACATTTTTTTCAGGATCATATGGAAATGCCCATTGCATGATCCGCTGATTTAGGCTGTCAGCAACAATTATATTCTTTTTGGAATCGACTAAGACTCTTGTTGGAAAATGAAATTCATTTAACGCTGTACCTAAACTTTCATTTCCAGCTACTGTTGTTCCGTTTTTGGCATCTCTCTGCCAATATTGAATTCTTTGATTATACCAATCAGAAATGAAGATATTTTCATTCTCATCTGCAAGAATATCTACAGGACAATTTAATTTATCCGGTGTTGACCCAGCTCGACCGTGTGGATCACCAGCGGCAGTAATAATTTCACCATTTGGATATCTTTTTTGAACACGATGGTTTCCAACGTCAGCAATATATAAAATTTTTGTTTTTGATTCAATAAATATACCGTTACGATAATTTAATTGATTGGGATCTGTACCATAACCACCAATGATTGTTGTTGCTGTTCTGTTCCATTTAAGTTTACCTGGACCTATAATTACAATAAAAATTTTAATTTAAAAAATACAAAGATACGCTGATGAGATAAATTTATTGATGCTTACAATCGTTTGATTGTTTATAAATATGCTGACCTAAAATAAAAAAAAAAGAAACAAATCGAAAAAGAAAACTAATTTAATTTCGTGTACTCACCATTTACCACGATTATCCTAAAAACGATAAAGTAAATATATTAAATAGTGTATAGTCAGAAACGAGATTCTCGAAATTCAGATTTGAGTTAGACTTTTCTTTGATACTCACGCGAACACGCATAATAAATGCTGCAATATCATTTTGTTCATGTAGAGAAATAAAGTCTCAAATTCTTACATCTTGATAATTATATCAATATGTCTTTCTCAATGCATCGTTATCTACCTCTAGCATACATATAGATTAGACAAGATAAGAGAAAATAATAGTGAATAAAGATCACGTCATATTCTCAAAACATTAGTATAAGTTTTAAGTGAAAACTAGATGAATATAAAATGTATCTTTACTACAACAAACAGAACTATTTTTAAGAAAAATAAGTCTGATAGTAAAGATGACAAGTAGATACTGAAAATAATAATATACATTTTATTTTAATACACTTTTTATTCTTAAAATAAATATATTATATATAAAAACAAATGGCAATTATTTGAAAATGGAACAATCTTAAAAATATTTTTACCGCATTCTTTGAAATTTTGTATGCAATTATTAAATATGTCTGAAGCATATAGATTAAGTTGGAGTGTGAGTGGGAATATAACTTTTCCGAACAGTCATAGCCACACACATACTCAACAGGAACTGTGAAATAATCTCGAAAACTACAGTATAGTTTACCTTTTTCTCTGTAGCATTTATTTGTCTGGGATACTTACACAAGCATGAACATAATGCTATTTTAGAAAAATTCTAAAGAGAGGTGAGTATTCTTGGTATAAGCTTGAAGAAAATCAGTGGCAATCAGAAATGAAAAGCAACTGCTATCCTTGAGAAAATATTCAACGAATAACGAGTGTTGAAGTTATCTCATTAAAAAAACAAGTGAACGTTATTGCTTTCACTAATACAAGTTCCATCAAAAACAGGCTACAGCATTGTTCTATTCATTTCAACGGAGATTTGTTTGATGGGATATTCTCTTTGAAAAATGTTCAATGTGTACACTAATAGTATTAACTTTTGTTTTCTTCCTACAACGAAGCAATAGCTGGATTTACTGATTGGCAAAGGTTGCTTCTTTTTTTCTAAGTTTGTAATAGAATCTTCGATTTTCTTTAGAAAAAGTTTATCGTCAAGTAGTTGTGCAAGTTTTTCTGATTCGATATTTGCTTCTTTTCGAATTGAACGTCGATGAACAAGTTAAGGGTGTGGTGGGTCTTTCCTTCACCCACATGCACACCCATACCCTCGACTGCTCATATTGTTTTTACTGATTCAAAAGTTAGAATTGGAACAAAAACGCTCAACAGAATGTCACAGATGATTGTTTTTATTTGAAATTAAAATAGAAACTATGTAACAACTCTTATATCTTCCCTTCAAATTAACTCTTATTTGTCTACGTGACGCGACAACAATGACGTAAAAAATTTGAAATATGATTAATTAGTTGACTTTAATAAGTTTTCTTCTTCGACACTGTATTCATGTCGCTCGACAGACTTTGACTGTTATAAAAAATGCAGCAGCTATCAGATACCGATTGGTGTAAGTGTCTGAGTATTGTTATAAATATACCCTCTCATACCCACGCCCAAAAGTTAAACGTTAAGACAAGCTTTGATAAATCAGAGATTGTTTATTTGATTAAAAAATAATTATTCTTTTAAGAATCTACAATAAACATTTTTTAATCATTGCCATTCTATATATACATTTTCAGCTAAACGCTTGATTCTATAATTTAATAGAAGTCTTTTAGAATCGATCACTATTCTCAATTGTTGAATCATTCTATCATCTGACATTGGAATATAAAAACACAATCGACGTAAATAATTATTAGAATCATGATTAATCTTCTCGATAATCTTCTCTAGAATAGATTCAATATTCATATCATTTATAGAATCTACTTTAAAAAATGTCATAAAAGGACACAATGCCAATAAGAAATAAAATTCTTCAATAATATTCATTTTTTCAAGATACACTTTTGTAATTTTACTTGTATCTTCAATTGAACATAAAATCATATATTCTTCAAAACTTAAATTTCTTGGTTCATATAATGATAAAGAATAAATTTTTAATGTATTAAGTTCTGGTAATAAATTTACAGCTTCGATTAATGTACCAATAAAAATATATTCTTCTGGAATTTCCAAATGATATACTTGTGCTATAGTTAAAACACGTTTAATATCTACTATAACTGATTCGTGAAGACTATCAGGAAGGATATACGTAATAGTTAATCGAGTGAATTTAGTAAGATCAGGTATAGAATTATAATTTTCATACCATCTTTTTCTAAAAGTCATAATCATATTTTTCCATAGAAAAAGAAAAAAACAGTTTTTCAAAATACCTGTACGGGTGAATTAAATAATTAATAGATTCATTATTGATTTCAATTTCAAATATCCATTTTCGTTCAATCCAAAATGATGAAATAAATTGATCTAATTCTCGAGAATATGAAGAATAATTAAATTGATCATTTCTTTGTTCATAATATTGTAAATAAAATTCTTCTAATTGAGGAATACATTGTAAAACTAACTGTTCCCATCGATAAGCATTAAGAAAACTTATATCTTTCGATTGATTAGTAATGCGTAAAATTTTTAAATTCAAATATAACTTTTTAATAAATATTTCGAACTTATCAAAATTAACACGATTCATATGCAACGAGGGTGTGGGTGTGGGTGTGGATGTGGGTGTGGGTGTGGGTGTGGGTTGGGTGTGGGTGTGG